GCTGCTTCCTACAGGGTCTACAGTCTTGCGCTGCTGGGAGCTCTGGTAGTCAAACCTATCATAAAAAAAAATAATAATAAATAAAAAAATAAATAAAGAAAGAAAGAAAGAAAGAAAGAAAGAAAAAAATCAAATACCTTCTTACAAATGAAAAAAATATGACAAATTCTGTTTTATTTTATTTTTATTCTTTTTATCACAGAGTTGTGATTATGTGCATATTTACTCACCTGTGCACATCTATGCCTTTCTTGCGAGCAATATCCTCTTCCAATTGTGCAATTTGTTTTCGTAATTTTTGCTCTTTGTCAGGCTTGGACATCCTTCTAGCATCATCGTACTCCATCTGTAATTAAAAGAAAGATGATCCACAGGCACGTGTAACTTTTATACAGAAGTTTAACAGAAAAGTAAAATACTACAAAAGCTATTGAAGTAAATATTATCTGCTGTGGCAGCCTGAAATAAGGCTGGGAAAACTACACTCTAGAACTATAATAATGACTGAAAAAGCCTCGATACAACAGCATACCCTTTTCTGTCTCAGTTTCCTCTCCAGTTCACTCAAGCTTGGCTCTGAAACACTCTTCACTGATGATGAAGAGGAGTTAGACACATCATGTACAGAACTTTCACCGCTACTTGATGCTGCAGATATATTTTGAGAGTTGTTGGGGCTTTCCTTATGGCTTGATACATCCTGAAATACCCATATATAATAAGATTAGTTCATCATTTTTGTCTCTTTTAAATAGGATGCAATTTCATTTAATCATCCCTTAAGAACCCCAAGCTAACCTCTTAACCTGACTACGTTTCACTACAGTGGAATTAAGTTGATGGCATTTTAAAAGCTTAATCTTCTTCACAAAAATGTATATTTCTTTGTCATATGTTAAATATACAGTGTATCAATAAGCCAAAACATTGAAAAAGTTATCATAGTTAAAATTCACATACAAAACATATAAAACACATACAAAGCAACAAAATCATAGCTTCATCTTATATAGAACTAAAATATATATTCCGATGTATTTATTAGTATCAAGATGTATAAATGGCAAAAAGACAATGATATACCATGATGTAACTCTCTGATATGTTATAACATGGTATGTGAAGAGGGAATATAAGAGTGGAAAAGATTGAGGGTTTGGCTATATGAAATATGCAATTTAGTACCAGAAATACACATTTACACATGATACATTTCATTCACAAGGAAAACAGGAGAAATGGGAAGAATGGAAGGTCTCCAAGGGGTATGAGGGTATGATGGTCATATGTTGAGTGTGGCTGCAGAAAACTTTTCATTCATTACCTGATACATTAGTGGATGCTACAAATGTCTTAAGTAAAATCTGCATATTATACAGAAGGCCAGACAAAATGGTAATTGAGAGAGAAAATACAAAAAGAAGGATAAAAGGAAAATTTAATGGAAAAAGTGGAACAAAAATGGAACAGAATACTAACAGAGGAAAAGCTGCTATGATTATCAGTGATGGAACTAATAATTAATGTTGAAGAAAATGACAATAAAAGGGAACGGGCAATACCAAACTAGATATGAAATAAACAATGAATGGAAAAGAGAAGGAAAAAAAATTATCATCAAGCTAACCTGGATGCTGTCAACACTCAGATTTGCCAAGGCATCTTCCAAAGAACGAATCTTGGCCTTTATTTTTTCACCTTGTCCGGAAGAGCTGCCATATTTCCTGTCCGCATCACCAACTAAAGACAAATTTTGCCTTTTATAAGAATGTTACTCAGAGATAATAATATAACATTATACTTCATCCACTTCTTTATATGGTTTAAGTTTTATTCTTGGTATCTGCATTAATGAGAGTTTACTATGCTCATTTTCAATAATAAAACTGTATGCCCTTTATCTTATGAACAATAATAAACAATATTATGGAACTAAGAATTTCTCAAAACCTACCTTCATTTGTTTCAGCTTTCTCTGGATTTTCATCTGCATCCATATCCGACACGGACACGGACATGCCTGAGGTAAGGCTCTCTTCCACTTGTATTGCCGGCAGATGCATTTGACACTCTCCAAAATACTGACTGACTTGTAACTGAAGTTACAGAGTCTTCAAAGTTTGTCCGACTAATAGGATGCAGATGATTCATGTTTCTGTGGCGTTTTCTTTTTAATTTTGAAACGGTGCCCATACTTTTGCTGGGGGGTTAAGGATTTTTCATTTTCTGGAGATGATGGAGATACAATGGAATCATTAGTTGTCCTCCAAAAATTCCACTGGGTTCCTGTTCTGAGATATTCTTTAATGAAGACTCTTCTTGGCTGTCGCTATCAATAACAGTTGACTTCTTCCTTCTAATAAATTGAGGAACTGGACTGTCTGCATCACTGACCAAAATCAAACAACATGTCTATTACCTGGATGTATCCCCTTGCCATCTTGAACATCAGAGCAACTCTTATATCTGGCAGTTCCCTTAGGACTTGACCTGCTCTCATTCTCTTTAGTTTTCCATTTTCTTTCCTGCCTGTACTTTAAATGACTCACATCAGATTCCGAGTCCGAGTCTGATTCCACAACAGCTTTTATTTTCTCTGATATGGTTGTGGATGGGGGCTTTCTCCTTCTTCATCGTCAGAGATTACAACAGCAGCAGATTTCCTCCATGTGTTTAGCGGTGTTGTAGGGTCAAGAGTTGGAGTACTAGACATCATTCCACCTTCTATCTTGGAACTGATACCACCAGACATGAGGGAAGGGATGGAGTGTCTGTGGAAGGGATGGATCCCATCCCCATCTTATGTGTCCTTGAGGTTTCCACTTTGGGAGTATCCTGCACAACTTTGGCATTATCTGACTTGACAACAAACTCATGGAAGTGTGAATCACCAAACAGCTGAATCATCAGATATGTATGCACTTGCATCATCTGACTCATTGATAACATTGGCTCCATTCTTGGCATAGCTGACATCCTCATCCTCATCTGAGTCTGGCACAGATACCGGTCCACTTTCAGACCTGTGACAAAATAATCACTGAGTGTCTTTGATTTATGAGTAAGTGTCACAAATGACACTTGATTTACTGAAAAGTATTTACCAAAGCATTTTAGAGACCTAGATGAAGGAAGGGGGGAAGAAGAGGGCAAACTAAGAGGAAGCACAAGAGGGAAAGAGGGAAGAACAGAAGAATGATGGTAATGAGAGTGGTGGTGTTGGCAGAGGAGGGGGAGAATGAGAGAAGGAAGGAAAGAAGAAAATAGTAATAGTCGTAGTAATAATAATAATAATAATGTGATGGTGTTGGAGATGGAGGAGGAGGAGATAGGAAGGAGCAAGAAGAGAAAAAGGAGGAAGTGGAAGCGAAGGAGGATTAAAAAAAAAAAAAAAAAAAAAAAAAAAAAAAAAAAAAAAAACGTACTGAGGAAGACAAAACCATAATTACACACCTCAAAGATGACGCCGCGAGAACTTTGCGATGAGTGGTACTGCCTGCTCCTCTGCTGGAAGATTCCTCGGGTAGTCTTTGGTGTGTCAGGAACGCTATCTGGACTCCCAGGGCTTGCAGGAATCACATCTGGAGAATTTTCTGCCGAGCTCAGAATATTAGATGACTCAACTCCACTAGAACTTGCATCAGAGACCCTTGGCCTCCATGCTATGAGATCCTGAAAGAGATATCAAACCTATGAAATTTGAATCTTCTGCCATTGTGTAGTCTTTGTATGCTATACATATGGAGGTCTCAAGATGTGTCGAGATCTGGTGAATAAATTGCACATCATGCACATCTACATAAATGAAATAAGGTCATTAGCTGTTTAATCAACCATCAATTCTTCTTTGCACAATTTCCAACAAAAGTAATGCACTTGCTGAATGTGTGATTTCTAGGGTTTATTAGTATAAAGATTATCAACATTTTTCATCACCTATATTTCCATGATATAATATCCTTATATAATCATTCCTGCATTAAATATTTCACCAAATTATAAAACTGAGAAATAAGGTAAATATAATGCATAAATTGTGTCACGACACCAGGCCTATATGAATCATAGCATCACATTTTAAAATGAAATGACAGGATTCTGAGTAGAAAGTATTTAATATTCAATATACACTCGTCAATTCTAGTATTCTTTAATATGAGATGAACTGTCAAGGCAGGATGGTTAATTATCAGTTGTAAAATAATCTTATGATTTATCATTCACCAATTAAGTTAGTTTTTGTCCTTTTACCATGGTAAACAATTAAGAAAACCACTGACAACTTAACACAAACTGCTTGTCAAGCCACAGACCAATGATATATTCATTATAAAGTTTACAGGCCAAAATTTTAGCTAGAAACAAATAGTTAAAGTGGTCTGATAATGCAATGGTCATGTAAAACAAATCAGTAGTAGAATATATTTCAAGGAAATATATTTCAATTGCTAAATGTAGGTTGTCTTTTTATATAACTTCCTGATTTTTCTAACTTTTATAAAGTAGAAAAATCTTATCATAGACTTTATTTGATAAATAATCTGCTCTAGAATACACACTATCTTACTCTGTGTTTGGTATGGGTAAGCTATTGTAAATGAATACTGTATTATTTCCTTGTAGTTTATAGAAAACATGATAAATCTAATATATGTAAATATGCACTACTAATGTCAACTTTTATTCATTTTAAGCTAAATATAAATTGAGTAGCCTTGATATTACATGCCACTTGTCCTCCCGTAACACCAGACGACCAAGCGACACTTTTGTTGATGTCTATCCTAGTCCTTGATCAGTCGGCTAAGTAACAATTTTGTAGTCGTTTGTCCTAGACCCTGATCAGATAGCCAAGCGACAATTTTTGGTCGTCTGTACTAGTCCTTGATCAACTTTGCCTGAGTATGTTGTAAAGGTCTGTTGGACTTTTGCCGAAGTATGAAGCAAAGAGGCTGTGGCATCAGCTTATCCATTCTTATTCTTGACAATAATTTTTTTTA